GATGAGAGAGGGTTTGGTTGGGAGTCATAGAGAATACAGTGTTTGAGATGTGATGTGAGAAATACAAGCACTCAATGAGTGAATGAGATATGCAGTGAAATGCAATGAAATGGCATTTAAATCAATGTTTGCTTTTTGTTTTCATTGCAAAAACCTATAGACAAATGGTTTGATTGATTAGCGATTACTCTATTATACACTTGTAATGCAATCAACGGTTTGAACGCATATTACAGTTATATTTGCATACAATTCATGTAATCAAATGTTTTGCCCAAACATTTTAATTGTCGCTATTTTTTCCCTTTAAATGTGTATTCAATGTATCGTTTGATTGATTATTGCAAACAATTAACTCTTTTATAATCTAATGATTGTCTCATTTGATAGACGTTTACAATTGGAAAATGCATTCAATTGTCATTTCCAGTCATTTGTTGTCTATTCAGTGATTGAATAATACTTTAATAATACTGTTATTAATAATAATTACTTTATTTAACAATCAATCGATTGTTTGTATAAAATACTAATCAAATGTCGACAGAAGTGATACAACGGTTCCAACAGACGGACCACGAGATCAAAGGTTGGCTCCAGAAGTGGACCAACTATTTGAAGGGCTATCAGAAGAGATGGTTTGTCCTCTCAAATGGTCTGCTCTCGTACTACAGGTCTGTGTCTGTCATTACAATCTGTTAACACTTGTCTTAATTGATGATATAATCTGTTGGACAGGAATCCGATGGAAATGAGTCAGTCATGTCGCGGCACTATAAGTCTGGTCTCAGCGGTGATCCACACCGAAGACTCGTGTAATTTTGTGATCGCAAACGGAGGCACAACTCAGACGTTTCACTTGCGAGCGGCCAATGAGATCGAGCGGCAGAAGTGGGTGACGGCTCTCGAGTTGGCCAAAGTGCGGGCCATTCGCCTCTTGGACTCCGAGGACGACGACGTCTACGATATGAACAGCGATAAGAATGAGTTGCAAACAGTGTTGAAGTGTTTGGCGACCAAATTGGAGACATTGCACACGTGTCACGACGTGATCATCAAACACGGGTCGGCGCTCCAGAGGTCGCTCATAGAGTTGGAACAGTTGGACAATCCCAACGACTCGCTCAACAAGAGTAAGACAGTGAACGAAAGGGCGACTCTGTTTCGGATCACGTCGTCGGCGATGATCAACGCCAGCGCCGAATACCTGACGTTAGCCCAAACGCACGCCAAGAAGTGGCAGAAACTGTTACAACACGAACACGAGTCGCGTCTGAGGCTCGAAGAACTGGTGGAACAGTTGGCTAAACAGCACTCACACCTCGAGCAGAAGGCCATCAAACAAGTGGCCAATTCTAACCCAAACAACGCCTCAAACGCTTCAGACGACGAAGAGTTCTACGACGCGGAGGAAACCAACTCCGACTTCATTGTGTCGTTTCCCGGAAAAGCCCATCGGATCGGCTCTTCGGCGGCCAACTCTCAGTCAATGTCCAAAGCGGCCAAACAGAGCGCCATCTCTTCGTCCGATTCTTCGGCGTCCGCTTCGGTACTCAACAATCATTCGGACGAATCGTCGGGCAGTGGAGACGACAGCGAGAGTGGCGTCGAAGAGTCAGCGGCCGGTGTTATACAACGCAAGAAGTCTCGCCAAAAGAATAATCTTAATCTCAAAGATTTAAATAACGCTAATATCATCACAAAAGTGGTCAATCACTCGACAGACGGCGACTCTACGAAGTCGTTGAGCACTCCGACCACTCCCGCCGCCGACAGGACTAATCCATTGCTCGGCGAAGAACTAAATTCGGGGAAACGTTTGCGTCGGAAGACAATACCCGAGCGGCCGAACCAGAGTCTCAATCTGTGGTCGTTTATGAAGAACTGTATCGGCAAAGAGCTGACCAAAGTTCCGATGCCAGTCAACTTCAATGAACCGCTTTCTATGCTTCAGAGACTCACTGAAGACTACGAATACGCGGATCTCTTGCATAAGGCTTCCAAAGTGAGAGACAGTTGTGAACAATTGACATACATTGCGGCCTTCAGTGTCACCTCTTATGCCACCACAAGTAATCGCACGGGAAAGCCATTCAATCCCTTATTGGGTGAGACCTATGAGTGCGATCGGAGCGAAGATCTTGGATGGAAGTGCTTCTCAGAACAGGTATTATTCGTTTGTTTTTTAGTTTAATATATGGTTTAGTAATCATTTACCTGCAAACGACAGGTGAGTCATCATCCGCCAGCGTTAGCTCAATACTGTGAGGGCCGCGGATGGAAGTGTTGGCGAGAGTTCTCCATATCGAGTAAATTTCGCGGTAAATACCTTCAGATCACACCATTAGATATAACTCATCTCGAGTTCGAGTCGAGTGGCAATCACTACACGTGGAAGAAAGTGACCACAACTGTGCACAACATAATTGTTGGCAAACTATGGGTCGATAATCACGGAGACATGACTATCACTAATCACACCACCGGTGATAAGTGTCACCTGAAGTTCATTCCCTATAGTTATTTCTCAAGAGATGTGCCGCGAAAAGTATGCACACATTGGCGACAACTGTTGATAAATTGAACTAATTCATTTTATGTTTGTTTAGGTAACGGGTGTTGTGATGGACAGCGAAGGGACACCAAAGTGGGTACTGCAGGGCACGTGGGATAACAAAGTGGAGGCCTCCAAAGTGATCAATAGTCACGGATCAGCGAAAGGCAAACCTATCTTAGAGACGGCCACTCCGAAGGTTATATGGAAACGAGTTTATCCGCCGTTAGTATTAAATTGTTTGCATTTAAAACAATGAATTAAAATGCAAATCTTATTGTTTGGCAGATCTGATTACGAGCGCATGTATAACATGACTCTACTCGCTGTCCAACTCAACGAACCGGAATCGGGTGTCGCGCCGACGGACAGCCGCGTGCGACCCGACCAGCGGCTGATGGAGGCCGGGAAGTGGGACGAAGCCAACAGTGTTAAGGGCGCTCTCGAAGAGAAACAGCGTTCCGTTCGCCGCTATAAGGAAGAGGAGGCCGAGAAGGCGGCCACTGAAGGCAGACCTTATATGCCTTACGAACCGATTTGGTTCAGCAAAAAGAAAGACCCGATCACTGGTAATCCGGTTCACATCTATACGGGAGAGTACTGGCGGTGCAAAGAGAGGCAGGACTGGTCTAAATGCCCACAAATATTCAAAGCCGATTGACGACACAACACCGGTTCGTCGACAACAAGTGTTTCATAAAATACAACTTTATTTTTGTGCCTTTGCTTTCATTGTTTGAACGGATGGTTATTATGATTAATGTAATTATTAAACGAAAAAACTGTTGTCCGTTCGCTAACACAACACACAAACTATTGATCGAAATATTAATACTAATATTGAAATTCATTTTTGTCGCCAATTTTCTTTGTCAGAGAATTATATATAATAAATAATTTGAACGAATTTTCGTGCAATTATTAGTTAACAATTAATTAATTTTGTTTTTAATGATATATAATGTAATAAATATTGAATTATTATAATATTTATTTCATATTATTTTATTTGTTGATATATAAATAAAAATTGCTTTTAAAATGGTTTTTAAGTCTTGTGGTATTATTTTTAGTCAATTATAAGATTTTAATAACATATAAATAATACTATAATCTATTTAAATTTGAAATTATTGACAATTTCTTAACAAATATAATTAATACAAATACAAATATAATATAAATAAAATTAAAAAAATAAATATTAATTATATTTTAATAGTTGTTATAAAAATTTTTAAAGAGTATGTAACTGAGCAATAGTCATTTCAAAGTTATAATTCACATCAATTTCGTATACATAAAATTGTAGACAGATTGTTTTTACAACTTTTTAGCATTAATTTATAAGTTTATAAGTACGAAATTTATATGAATTATAACTTTGAAATGACCATTGTAACTGAGAATACTTTTTATATAACACACATGTTTTTTATAATACTGTTAAAAACCCATTGCAAGTGTTGGCTAGAATATACCGGTATTCCTTTAAAACCTACCAAAAGATGTTATATTAATAGTATTTTTATATTTTATATTTATGGAAACGTTTATTTTAAGTATTTTTCCATTAAGTGAAAGTTAACAGTCCCCACAACCAATCAACTATACAGATAGCGTACACATAATTATCATTAAATGAAATTAAATCAAAGTAAATTTTACTCAATAGATTTATTAACTTTTTATGAAATTAATTTATTACACATTATGTATGTTTTAATTAAACGTTTAGACAATAGGATGTAAAACATAGTCACAAATTACTAATGAATTTACAATTTAAAGACTAGTTTAACAAATAATTTATTAAATTAATTAAAAGACGATATTTTATTAAGAGATTGATTGGGAGATAACTGGGGAGTCATCTGTGGTGTCATTTGTGGAGTATTTTCGTACATCTCGAGTGTGTTATGTTGTAAACCACGGGAACGATAGGCCAACGAGTGATTATTGGCCAACGAGTGCTGTTGACTGATACTGAAGAGTTCCTGTCGTCGGAGGTCTCGGAAGTGTCGCTGACGTATCGCACACTTGCATAACAGTCGCCGAAGCGCTTCCCGGAAGTCCTTCATATGGAAAGCGTAGAGAAAGGGTGAGCCGACGCTATTGAGGTGCGAGAGAATAATGAGGACATCGAACACCGGTTTGGACTTAAAGCAGTCGTGACAGAAGACATTGATTGTATTCAATGTATACAAAGGTATCCAACATAACATGAAAAACACCACAATTATGAATAATTTCTGCGCTTTCTTCACCTCACGTCTACTGTAACTCAATTTTATGGGTTTAACCACACATTGGGAACAGTTCTTCATTGTGGCCATTGATCGCGATTTGGGCAACACTGGCGACCCGTTCTGAGCCGACATTTCTGACGGGCTATTGTTGATGGAGTCCAGAGAACTGGTTTCGAAGCGATTCCGGCGCCGATCGCTGCACTGACGACTACTCGGACCCGATCTTTGACTGTAGTGACCGCCCGATGCCTGAAGAACCTATCATTTTGTTTGAATCAAACAGAATATTATTTCAAACATTGTGTCAAACAATTTATAATTTGTTATATGTCCACAGAATTTCTATACTATTTAATACAAAACAGTATAATATAGTTGTGTAGTATAATTCTACATGTATTTATTGTAAATTCTTGATTTTGATTTAAACATTAATGTAAATAAGTTCCATTTAAAATTTAAATTGATAAATTTATCTTTTAGTTTAAAGATTTCTACAAAAAATAATTTAATTGTCAAGTAGTGGGCAAAAATAAATATACAAAATAAAATAAAATGTAATTTTCATCAACAAATGTCAAAGTTGTGATACAATAGGATATCAATAGTAGTGTCCACACAAACACAAAATTTTCGTTTGGTAACAATAGCTATGAGTATATTATATAACTAAAAAAGTTAATTTTGTTGTCAAAAGCATTTTTTGTTTGAACCAAAATTATATGCTTGAATTACTTTCGACTCCCATTCACTTAAATACAACGAGTAGTGTATAAATTATATTTTTGTCCTATAGTTTGTCAATCAATATTATTTTTTTTATATTATATCAAATTTGTTCGTAAATTATTCTATCATTCAAATATAGTGGATATTAGTCTCTATACTGAACACAAAGAATTTATTAAACAGTTAATAATATCATTGGTTTTTGTTAAATTGAATATTTATAACTTTTATTTGATATACAGGTCAATATTAATAATTAATAAATTAATATTCAAGTATTTAATGTGATTTATGATTCTGTTTTTAATCAAATTTCGCTTTTTATTTAAATTATAATTTCATCAAAAAGATATGAAGTGTTATTATAATAAAGTGTAACACATAATGAATATTCTGTGATATTGTATGGATTCAGAATATTCTATATAATTGAAATTATAATACTAAATCTTAATTAAATTCTGTCAAAAATCCACAACTTTTTGACACGTTTTCAGTAAATATTTAAATAAATAATTTATTATTAATTTATGAGTTTTAAACGATTTTTAATTTAATGCTTCAATATTTAAACAGTTTTCGTATTGAATATTGATATGATTTGCATTTTTAAGGATTTTCAATAAAAATAAGTACAAAGTTCATGAAAATTGTTGTCGTATCCAAACAGTGATATATCCGATGCGATCATAAGATTAGTTTTTGTATTCAATTACTTTATTTTCACTCAAACTTTAACGCAATTAATTGTTTTACGGAAACATTGAGTGAATTATTTTGATAATTAGCTTCGCTATCGATATTCAATTAGATTTTCATTTGAGTCAAAACACAATAACACAAACAAACAATTCGTTTTCATTAATTCGTGTTTTACTTTATTTCATATTTTAATTTAATTTTAATTATAAATCAAATATTTATGAAAATATAATTAAAATCTCAATATTATTGTAATTTAGGATTTTTATCAAAAATGTAAATTTTATTAAATTACTAAAAATTATTGGAAATTTTAAATACGGTATTAAAAATAGTGTTACATAACTCTCATATAATTTTATAATTGTAAAAATCAAATATAAAACAAATTTGAGACATAAAGCTAGAAATGTACCTAGCTTATTACAATAAAATATAGTAACATTAGATTGATTGTAATCCGAAAGTAAACCTTAACTTCCAATATAATTGGTTTTAGCTTTTTATCTCCCATTATAAACATTAATTTCGTTAATCCTTTGATTTAATTTAGATTACATTTAGTAATTGAAGACACAGTTTGAGATCAAATGTTTTTAATGAATGCCATTTCTGGCTCTCGTTTGGCAAATAATTCTCACATAATTAGAGAGAAATTCAGTATTAAATGATCTAAAAGTGAGGTTTTCTACCGAAAACCAAATGATGTAATAAATTGTAATATTTCTCAGAATTTCTATTAAAATAGTCATATTGTCTATAATTGGGTAAACTATTGCAACAATTAACCACATTTTACTATATTAAACCATTGCTTTTGTATTTGTACAGTATTTCAATTTTAAGACTAAAAAGTATTAACTCTTTAATTAATTGAAGTAAATTTAATTTTTCTATGTAAACGTAAATCCCTATTGAATATTTCATTTACTGTAACGATTATCAAGAATATTTGTAAAATATTTAGAAATATAAAATAACAAGAATATTCTTTGTTTAAAAATTTCAATTTCAGATTCTGTGACAGAGAATACAATACAAAGTGGAATATTAAAAAATATAACCATGTTGTAATTTAATCTTATCTAATATTTAAAATCTAATATCTAGATATTTAAAAACAATTGAATGCACAAAGACTTACCTTTTTATAACTCAATTGTTTAATAACAACCAAATAAATGCGTCCGTAAAAGAAGGCCATCATTAGTGCCGGCAATACAATGGTTGAGAAGTATAGGAAAGC